CAACAGTGAGGATAAAATATTTCTGAAAGTAATTCCTCAAGTTACTCTGGGGGAAAAAAATCTCCAATAAATTCATTAAAAATGTATATTAACAAAAAAAAAGCTCACAGTGACTCTCCCTGGAATTGAAAGTACAGGTAATTTTACTTTTTAATTTTAATTGCAGGCAGCAAAATTTCTATAATGAATATGTATTATTTTATAATCAGAAAAAGACTTCTATTTTTTTTAATTCATACAATTTTAAAAACACAAAAATAGGGCGCCTGGATGACTCAGATGGTTAAGCGTCTGTCTTCAGCTCAGATCGTGATCCCAGGGTCCTGGGATCGAGCCCCACGTTGCGCTCCCTGCTCGGCGGAGAGTCTGCTTCTCCCTCTCCCTCTGCTTGTGCTCTCTCTGTCTCTCTCTCAAAATGAATAAATAAAATCTTTAAAATAAATAAATAAATAAAATAAAAAATAAAAACACAAAAATATGTGTAGAAATGAGGTGATGTTAGCACTGACAACAAAACTCTTCTTTTTCACACAGAATCTCAGACTGAATATTGTTTTTATGTGTTGTGTCCTCCTTTCTTTATCTCCTTGATATTCCCATGAACTATGTCCCTCTGCTATTAACACGGGAAGTTTAGAGGGTTTTATAAAGGGGAAAGGAGGGGTGTGTTATGATTTTTCATAGACCCCTCACTGTCCTTAAATAGCAGTCAGGGTTTGATTAAATAGAGAATTAATAATTAAAATATACTTTGACCCAGCCTTAGAAACATACCTAGTAGAAATGCATACATATGTGCATTAAATGACATGTACAAGGATGTTCATCATGGTTTTCTTCACAATAGCCAAAGCCAGACAGCAACACAATGTGACCAGTAGGAGAATGGATTAAAAAACTGTGGCACATCATATGATAAATACTACACAGCAAGGAAAAAAGAATCAACTCCTAATCCACGCAACAAAACAATAAATCTCACAGAAATAATGTTGAGTGTGGAAGTCAGACACAACGGTATACATACTGTATGATTCCATTTTGGAGAGTTCATAAACAGGCAAATCCAGTCTATGGTGTTAGAATTGAGAAGAGTGGCTTCCTTTTCCTAGGGGAGATAAGAACTGAGGTGAGGACAAACGGACAGCTTTGGGGCACTGGTAATGTTCTACTTCTCAGGATGGTTAGAGATGACATTGGTATATTCATCTGGCATCCCTGCATCAAACTGTACATTTGTGAAATAAGCAGTTCCTACATGTAGATTACACTGCAAAAGAATTTACTATAAGTTAGAGAAATAAATAAAAATTAAACTTTAATTTGGAGTCCTGTTTTATTCGCAGGTGCGATATAACCCTTGGCTAGGCAGAATGAGGCATGGCTCATCTGGTTCCAATTAGCGCACCAGTTAATCAAATATATAGAAATTGACTCACAGTCATTAACACAGGCAGCAAAGAAGCTGACCAGTAACATTTCAACATAGACACCATGTACTCCATATGGGACTGGCTCTGTTTATGACTTGCTCCAGCCAGTAATCTGGGACATCCCCACAATCTATAAATTCAATCACAAGGAAGGGCCAGGAAATGTGGGTACAGGGTCGAAGTTAGCAAAGACACTGTGTACATTTAAGATGGGCACAGAACCTTTCTCAGACAAAACAATCATTGCTAGTATAGGTTGTGAAAATGCCAGGCTGTGCTTAAGGTTTACAATTTCTTGCCAAAGCTATATATATATATAAAGCAACAAAAAGGTAAATGAAAAGACAATAAACGTCACCTGCATCTGCTCCAGTGTCCTGTGATGAGCGGTGGAGGAACTGAGAAGGTGGCCTTGCAGACACCACTCCAGGCTCTTTCCCAGCCACTCCAGGAACAATACCCATTTTGAACTAAGTTCGTTTGAATTGGATTTCTGCCCCCTTGGCAACAAAAGTCCTAACAAATGTACAAAAAACGTAGAATTTGGAGTAAAGTCCAAAGTCTTTGTTGTTGTTGTTGTTGTTGTTGTTGTTACAAGTAATCACTCGAGGGGAAGGCATAACGGAGCAGAACTGTGAACACACAGTTGACCTTGGCAAACTGGGGGAGCTGGTGCCCACCTGCCGCAACCCCTCGGCGCTGCCATTTGGCCGTATCCAGCCCCAGGTGGAATTTCCTTCAGTTTCTTCCTTTAACTCAAGATTTCACTGCAAGAAAACACATCCACTTCATTACCTTTTCTCTTCCCAACACTTGCTTCTCTTTTTTCCCCCTTCTTTCCCAAGCACGTTAAAGAGGGAGTACGTTCCACTAGTGTCGGCTCCAGAGGGCAGGGCCTGTCTCAGTGTCATTGACTAGAAAAGTGTCTGGCTGGCACCGCACATTCGCCTGCCCTGAGCTGCAGTGCTCATGGGAGCCCCCTAAATTTTGGCAGGTAGTTTGAACTGTACCATGCCAAAACTGCTATGTATATGCTCAAACAAATATTTTTCAACACTTCATTCTAAAAATGCTTTGATTCATCACAGAGAAATTGACAGGAACATATATGTCGCTTCATTACAGCCTTTGCTGCCTACTATTATTGTTCCTTTTCATGCATCTGTGACCACCACACATACATGCCTGTGAGTAGAAAAGTCACATCTTACTGAATATGCGCTCCCAGCAATTAGCATGGTTCTTGGCAGGTACAGGTGTCTGATGCCTCCCCACCGGGTACAAGCGGTTCTTGAAACTCCATTGAAGCTTGCTTTTCAAAGTGTAGTCCATGGACCAGGAGCAGCAGGATCTCTAGGACAGAGGCTTGCAAATGCAGAGTCTGGGCCCCACCCCAGAACTACTGATCTGTAGTTGTGAACTGGCCTGCAGGGAGAGGCAGGATGATCTTGCAGAGGCAGGAGCTCATGGATGGGAGAAAGGGAGGAAAAGGGACAAGAGGAAGTCAAGGGTAGGTGAATCTGCAGGTCTGGGGTGAGAAATGACAGTGATCACCAGGGGGAGGCAGGATGACCAGAGGATGATGATGGGGTAGGAAGGGTCCCCCGTTCTGCAGAACATCTCTATTTATACAGGACCCTTTCTGTGAGTGTGGAGAAAGGCAGTCAGGAAACCTTCACTGCTGAAAAGAAAAACCACAATATCATGCCTTGTTTTCTCCCACCTCTAAGCTGGGAGATCATTTTTAAACTTAAGATCTCCTAGGTGCTCTAGGTTTTGTATCCAAAGGAGACATGAGCTCATAAAAGCAGACGGCTATCAGGTTCTTAATCTTAGAACCTACCGATGTGTTAAAATGAAAAAATAAATTAACACTGCCACTTCAGTACCTAAATGAATGGGTTTTGGCCAGCCTCTGCAGGAAGCTTCTGCCGGAACTCAGTAAATGATTTCCATTTGAAAACACAGCTCAAGGACCACTTAATAAGTGCAATATGACGATAATGTTGATTCACATAACCGCACCTTATATGCAGTTAAGCAAATGTTCCCGGGGAACAGTAATAATGAACCCGATCTAAGACACACCTAAGGAAAGGAACCCCTTTGGGATCAGGAAGCAGTGTGGTCAGAGGCAATTCTAAAATAGCTGGCCAATCATTTTGCTGCTTTAAAGATCAGCCTCCCTAACTTGCTCACCCTGCATCCTTACTGCTAATCCCGAAGGCCACCCTAAGCAATTCTTTGGGCCAGGAATGTGGCAGTTTAGGGAAAGGCGTGGAGAAGCAGGTCGCTAGAGACTGGGACTCCGCAGGGAGACCTCAGGAACGAAATAGGTCACCGAGCTCCCAGGCGGTGCTCCTCTGCCCCCACCCCAGTGCAAGCACCAGACCCCCAGCTGGGGTGGGACGCGGGGCCGCAGACTGGGAGGCCCAGGGTGCAGATCTCCGCCTCCAGGTTCTCTCCCTCCCAGGAGGGGTGCGGGGGGCTCTCGCTGCGCGCGGTCCGTCCTCGCCCGCCGGTGCGTTCCGACCCGTGGGGGCGCGCGCCGGCCTCCCGGGGCTCGGGCGGGCGGGCAGCCGGGCGCGCACGGGCGGGCGGGCTGGCG